GCCCGGCTTATCGTGAACGACAGAGTGTCTCTATGGCGACTAGGAAGTCCCCAATGATCGGAGTCCGGGTGGATCTGTCGGGAGATGGGGCAGCAAGCGGCTAGGGCCGGCGGCGGGTCGGGCGGGTGGTTGGGCAGGCGGCGGGTCGGGCGGGTTGGGTGGCCGTTGAGCCATTCATTCATTTGTTGCCACTCATTCGTTGGTTTGGGGTTTTGGTGCCTTTGGAAGCCGGCACCCAACTCTGTGACCACGCGTTGTCGAGTGGGTGTGATCTGGAAACTGCAATTATGGGCCTGGCAAGATATGGTGGTGGACGGGGCTTGGTTGGAATGGGGTGATGGGAGTGGTGGTATGCTTGGCACTGGGCGTGTTGCCGTCGGTGGCGGCTCGACAGACATTGGACGGCAAATCGATCTCGTCGCGGTTCCTGGCCATGGACGAGAAGGATGAGACGCATGCTGGCGATTATGCCATGTATCTGGCTGCGGTGGCGCTGCCTTTTCTTATTCTGGCGGTGCTCGAGTGCTTGACTATTCCAGTCTTCTCCTGTGGGCGATGCTGCGGATGCTGCGGTGGGCGGAAGCCGCGGCCGGGCCTCTGCTGCGGGCGCGGCAAGGTGCCCAAGCTCTACTCCAAGCTCGAGATCACCGGATCCAAGGTCATGGCTATGCTGGCGATTGTTGCACTTGCGGTGACAATGACCTTGGCGTACACGGCGAACAAGGAGGTGAGCGATGGGACCAAGGAGGCGGTGGTGGCGCTGACCGGCAACATGCGCGGGGTGCTGAACGACGTGGTGTACGTCCGCGACACCCTCGTCTCGATCACCTACACCTCGTCTGACGGCGACGCCATGTCACCTGCGGTGGATGAGGGCCGAAACATTGACTCGCAGGGCCGCGACGTCGAGAAGCTCATCGATGACTTTGATCTCTACCGTGCACTCGCGCTCAACCTCTCGTTTGCTATCCCAGCCGCGTTTCTTCTCCTCGGCACCATCTGCGGCATCTGCAACTTTCGCAAGTGCTCGATCCACCTTGTCCTCGCCATGCTTGTATTCTTCGGCTGTGTGGTGCTCTGGATCTCGGTGGCTGTTCACTCTGTGGTTTTTCGGGTCACCGACGACCTGTGCGTCGAGATCGAGTCGCCCAACAACGTCAAGTCGCTGCGGGAGATTCTCGGATGCGCCGACAACTCGTCGAGCTCGTTTGACGTCCTTCGGGAGACGCAGGAGAAAGGCCAGGCCGCTGCTGTGGCTGCAGCCTGCTACGATCTGGTCGACCACCCGCAAGCGCTCTGTACCTCGCCAGGCGTCTCGGGCTGCCCGTCGTCCACCTCGTGCTCGGCAAGCAATGTGTTTATTTTCGAGCGCGACGTGCGCATCGGTGTCGCTGGTTACAACATCTCACAGTGCGCCGAGCTCTGCGCTGATGGAAGCAACGAGAAGGAGCGGTCCGTGGTTATCGCGGGTGCGTTGCGCGACCATCGCAAGTACGAGTCGGTTTCAGCCGTCATCGGAAACTTGCTGCAGTGCAACTACGTCGATCGCGCTATTGCCCAGTTCTCGGCCGGCCTCTGCTCGACACTCACCTCTGGCTTGCAAGGCATTGCACAGACGCAGATCGCGGCGGGTGTCCTGCTGTCGCTCGGCGGCGTGGTCCTCATTCTCGGCCAGAAGCGGTTCCTCCCGACGTCATCGTCCAAGGAGGCGCTGGGCGCAGTGGTGGCGGCCGGCGCGGCCGGCGGCGCTATGACCGCCATCGTTGCCAAGGACGGATGGGGCAAGGACGACGGAGAGTACTCGTACTACGACGATTAGCCGTCTGTGTCGTAGTGTTGCGGGCGGTGGGGGAAGAAGGGGGTGGCTGACAACTCCACCACCCAATGCACTGCGAGCAAGGGCAGAGCAATAGATAATCAAAGATGCGTTTGTTTCTGCAGAGGACACGCACGCGATCAGCCGCGCCAGTTGAGTGCGTCCGCAAACCAGTGCGCGTGCTGGGCCGAGGCGTCGGCGGCAGTCTTTGCGAGGGCGGCAATGACCATGCGGTTGGCCTCCCAGAACGAGACTGAGACTAGCGGGATGCCGTGCTTCTCAAACATGGGCTTGATCCGCTCGCGGATGTGGGTGAGGCGGTGGCGCGGGATGCGCGGGAACAGGTGGTGCTCAAGCTGGTACTGCAGGCCGCCGTGGAACCAGTGGGTGAGCCAGTTGGAGTCGACGTCCATCGAGGTCAGCGCCTGGGCCCGCACAAAGTCACCCGCAAACGGCTCGACCGACGGGTCCTCGTAAAGCTCCATGGCAAAGTGCGAGAGCGTGATCTGGACGTGCAGGATGCCGGCAAAGCCGTGCGAGATAGCCAGCCAGAGGAAGCGATGCCAGGCGGAGGAGAGGCCGTAGGTGACAAAGGCCACGTTCCACGCCAGGAAGGCACCCAGCGATGCCATCTCCAGCCAGCGGTACTCCATCGCCGGCTCGGCAATGAGGATGAGCCACGACTGCAGGTAGAGGTTGAACCGCGCCACAGCCATGATCGGGTAGTAGAGCCAGGCCTGGATGCGGACAAAGATGTTGGCGATGCCATCGTACGGCATGAACCGCGAGTGGTACGTCGAGAAAATGCCCTTGAGGTGCGACTCTGAAAGGCCAAAGATGGGCAGGTGCTGGATGTCCGGATCGTGGGTGACCGAGTTGGTGAAGACATGGTGCACGTTGTGCGACCGCTTCCACCACCCGGACGAGATTCCGCCGAGCGCCCCACCAAAGACAATCGAGAAGATGTAGTCGATCTTGCGGTTGTGCGTCACGCCATTGTGGCAGAGGTCATGACCCATAAAGGCGTACTGCTGAAAGAAGAGGCCGAGCGCAAGCGCGCCGCATGCTACCGCCCAGTCCGGCGACGCAAAGTCGTGCGCATGCCACCCGATCCACAGTGCCGCCGCCAGGAGGAGGTATGCTGCCACCAGCTTGGCCGCAAAGTACGGCAGGAACGAGTCGTAGAGGCCCTCGGCAAGGAACGCCTCGTGCAGCGCCTTGTAGTCCTTGGAGAGCTCCGACGGCTCGGCATCGACCACCACGCCCTTCATGAACCGCGCCAGCCGTCCGCGCACATCCTCTGGATGAAAGACTCGGAACGCGTCAGACATGTCTAATCGCCATCGCCCGTACCGACCGCGTGAGTCTCTGCGCCAATCTCGTCGACTGCTCCAAAATGCGGCACTGCCTCACTGCCCGACGCGCCCGCACCACCTGCTGAGCCCTAGCGCGGCGCGGCATGAAGCCACACCGACCAAAACCCGACAGAGGCAGACACCACAACATGGCCACCCATGAACGCGAGTTAAAGCGTCGGCGCGGTAGTGTTCCTCGCGCGCGGGGTGATGGCAAGCAGCCAGGCACACGAGCTACGTTTGCCAAAATGAGCGGCTGACCGCAGCCGTTGCCTGCGGAGGGTCATGTGGCGAGGGAGGAGGGAGGAATGGGGTAAAGTGTGGTATGGCCATCTGTGGAGCAAGACCAAGGAAAGTATGCTATAGTCCCATGGCTGTGGTTGGCAGGAGTGACTGTGGCTGGTGCCTGGGGAGGTGGGAAGGGTACACGTGGCAGGGCGGAATTTGGGATGGGCAGCAGCGGGCACAGGGTGGGGGAAGGGGGGGGAGGGGGGCGTACCTTGGCCCATGGAGTTCCGGAGGATGATCTCACCGCCAGGGTGGAGATGCTTCCACTTGGTCACGTCATACACGTGGCCGTCGATGACGATCAGAAGTCGTCCGTCGCGGAGGCATTCATGCGCTACCTCGGACATGGTGTACTCGCGGAGAGACCGCTCGGCGCCGACCATTGGAAGGAGTGGACGACAGAGGAGTGTGATTGGTTGACGATGGGATGGGCGGAGGTGTAAATGCGCGTAGTCGGATGGGTCATGTTGGGTCAGAGGAAGGGGAGGGAGGGAGGGGGGGGGGATGAGGTTGATGTGTATGGATGCGGGGACATGTGTTTGTGTTGTGTGTGGGATGGGTATCGAGATTGGCGAGCGTGGGGATGCATGCCGAAGATTAGTGTCCGGAGACTGTAGAGGACATCGAGCGCGATGGGCATGATGGGCGCGACGGGCACGATGGGCGTGACGGGCACGATGGGCGTGACGGGCACGATGGGCGCGACGGGCGGGCGGGTGCAACGGGTAGACGCCTAGGCGACATACGTGTCGGGATGCTTGCG